TTCCTTTATGGAATCAATCCACTTCATAGTTGGCCTTCCTCTTCTTTGTCTCTCTTCAACTTTTCCTAGCATGACTGCCTTCTCCCGTCACTCTTGCCTCCTCGTGATGTGTTCAAAGGATGACAAAACCTCTCTGCTTTGTCCTTTTTGCCTCCAGAGCATGTTCTTGCTTGATTTGATGTAGGACTCTTTTGTTTGTCTTTCTGCTGGTCCAGGTCATTTGCAAAGCACCAGACGGGTCTGCGCTTGATCAGTGGTTGGCGAGTACTTAGAGGTGAGACTTCCTCAGCACCGAATGTAGCCATCTTGAGTTTTGCAATAGAAGGAAGATGGGATATAAATGTAATAAATACTTAAATTTAATATCCCTCAGTATTTTGTGGCTCACAGCCCTTCTTAGTCAATCTACCATTTCCACCAAAAACACTTAAAACCTACATTTTCTTGTATCATGCTGTCAATATCGTCTGAAATTCTCTGTGTGCATTTTTTCTTAGCCAGTCTAACATGTCACTGATATAAAATCTTATTTAAAATATTATGTCAATGTTTACTCAACAGCCATTTTCATCTCGTCCCCATTGACCTTAACTTCTGTTGGTGTGTGCAAATAATTTTTCCTTTAGGAAAGGAGACCCTGAGCAGATGAGAATACTCTTCCTGCTTCCCAGACTTAGCCAGATTCCTCATCAAGTTAACAGTGTCTTTGTAAACACAGATCTGATCTGCAAATATTGAAAAATGTCGGTGATCAATCTCCCATTTTTTGTCTCAATTTATTGCAGTTATAAATCTGGCATCTACAGGGGAAAAAAACCTTCTTGTCAAAGTATATCTTTCCCACATACTAAAATCAGATATGGCCCAAGTTCAACAATTTTTCTGTTGTATATTCTTGGAGGCATGTTATTCCAAATAAACTTGCTCAGTCAAGAATTTGGTATCGCTTCTTTTATGATAGAATAATGAGATGTTCTAGAACATAAAAATGCTAGGACAGACATTTTTACAAAAGCGATTCTGCTTACACAGGATAGTTTTCAGTTAGCCCAGTTTGTTAGTTCTCATTCTATTTGAGTCTAAAATTGTCTGGTGCCTGCAGACATCCGTGTGTCTCTTGGCAACAAGCAAGCTGCCCTGCCCCTCTTCTACAAACAAACAACTTAATGTTCATTAAGTGACGTGATGGCTGGTAGTCACTACATAGCCCCTTTCTGGAGTACTCTGGGCCTCATATGCCTGGCTCAGAGAATTTCTTAGGAAATCAACACAGTGGGCAGCTTCAAGACAATGCTTTTTTCTCAGCGTGAGAGGAGGAGAGGCAGGAAACTAGTAGGGGTCGGGGAGGGGGCAGGAGGGCAGTGGCAAGCCAGCTGGAGCAACCAGGGTGATGGCGAGGGTTGTCCACTTGCAAGTCTGAACGGATGGGGCTGTGGGGTGCGAGAAGGTGGGTTTATGGGGGGGGGCGTGTTGGAGGGATCCTGAAAAAGAGCAAGTGTGGGGGTTGGTGCTTACAGTGAGGAGCAGAAGAGAAGGACGTGTTTGCATGTACGCAGGGTTTGCCTTTGGTGGAATAGGTTCCTGTTGACCCTGGGAACTGTGGGGTTCAAAGGAATCGCTCAGCCCTTTAAGCAGATCCCTTGCCCATTGTGGCCAGCCATGCCTCCCATGGCAGCCATTTTGTCATGGTTAGCAGGACAGCCTCTCCAATGGCTCAAATGCACCCACAGGCCCCAAAAGGTTTCCTGATGTTACAGATGAGGTACATTTGAGTTGAGTTGGTACTTGTGTGTCTATTTGCTGTTCCTAACTCACAGGAGGCACAAGATCTTTTGCTGGCATCTATGGTATGTTTGCCCCAAGTGCGTGTGTGTCCCTCAGTTCCCTATGATAAAACACACTTGCACACAGTTAGGATGAAAAGAAAAATTTATTACACATAGAAGATACAAAGTCTTAAGCTGCAATTCAAAAGTCATTGATTTATAAGTTTGATAGAGAGGCAGCAAAGCATAAATCATATCCATCCACATGCCTTGATTTTTAAGAGAACAGCACCTATATGCCCCATGTAGCCCATTCAAAGAGGACAGCATGGGATCCCCAGTTAAAAGGAAGAAATGAGAGTTTTGAGGCCATCTCTGTCTTGATCACTCATCCAATGGTGCTTGACTGTTGATGTGGACACAGGTGCCCTTGATGAGTATGCTATGAGTCGGTTTCCATGCTGAACCCTGCTTTCTTATCCTCTTGACTCCCCAGATTCCATTTCAGAGAAAGGAGGTGTCAGCTGGATGACTAAGTTAAATTTCCTGCATGTTATCCCTTCATCACTATTGTTCCATTGTGTTGTGCTCCCTAGACAGGCAGTTTCATCCATATTTGGATTAAACTAGACTAGATGAATTTACTCCTTCCTGGTTAATCTCATCATATCTAGAATATGCACCAAGGCAGGGGTTTTTTTCCCCTTCCTGTGTACTTTTGCGCAATCCATTCTAGGCAGGAATTCCTGTTAGGTTTGAATTCAATCTTATCTTCGCTGCAACCCAGTCACAGCTGTCACATTTGCACATGATGTCTCTGTTTCACATCACAAGTCAATTTGAATCCTCTTAACCATTCTCCCCCATCGCACTTAACAAACCATGGGGTCCTGTATAGATGCTTTTTGTGGCTTCTTTACAAACTGAACCATACCAAACAGAACTAGTTACATCACCAAAAAATCTCTCACATTACCCTGTTCTAGACTGTCCTTAATTACGCTTTCTAGCTATGTAGGGTTATTTTATTTTGATGATTGTTACATTCATAATCTTAGGCTCCAGTGAGATTTTTGTATGTATTTCTAAATCCTTCGGGTTAGATCCTGATTTAGAGTATACCCACTGAAATCAGTATAGCGTATGCTAATCATGACTAACTTAGGCTCCATGGGTTCCCATGGGTCTACTCTACATAAGTCTGGATCTAACCCTTTGACATTTCCTGATTACTTTTGTAAACTTTTGTCATTTGACCAAAGTCAGCTAATATTGCAGCTGGTGCTTAAAAGGATTTGTTAGGGAAGGAGTAATGGGGGGGGGGGGGAATGCCCAAAATGCCAATTTGCCCGATCTCTTCTTCCCATTTCTCTTCAAGATCTCACAGATATTGTCATAACCTCAATTAAGGCTCAGTCCAATGTGTGCTCAGACAGAAGAAAGTCCAGCATGGCTGGTTGAAGCATGTTGGGAATTGTAGGGCATTTTTTCAGTATAAACTTGCATAGGATTGCACCTTAAATAGATAAAATACTAAAGGTGACAATGGGTACCATTATTGAATTCCTGAATTTGAAAATAACATTCTTTGGGTGACTTCCATTCACTTAATGCATATCAGTTTAATCCATGCATAGAATAAAGTAAACACGTCCAATGTGTCAAGAAAAACCCACTCAGTTCCATCAAAAGCTTTTTCCAAATCCACAAAATAAAACTTTGGTGTCTTTTACAGTCTGACAAGAATCAATCATATTAATCACTCTTTTGAAGTGTTTTTTTAAAGAAAGCCTTTTAAGAATTGTAATACTTAAAAAACTTAAGATGCAAAAACTTTAATTCTTAAGAAATTTTAATTCTTAAAATTAAGAAACATTCAAGAGGAATGATCCTGCAGCCTCCCTAGTAATAGCATCTCATTGCTGCATTGCTCTGAACTATTGTTTTTAAAAAGGCTTAATCATTGCTCCTTACTCTATTCTACAGCCTTTCTAGACATGTTGCATGGTCTCAGGGGCATGAAAGGCCTTCATGATATGAACACAACCTTCTCCATTCAGTTACTAAGATACACAAGCAAGGAATTAAGGGGAAACACCATTACTTCACACCAAGAATTAGGAGCTGTATGTGTCCTCATAAACCTGCTCAGCATATTTTGTTAACCTAACCAGTAGTATTTGGGCTACCTAGCTAGTCCATCCTACTCCCCAAATAGGTCTGGTTTCACCAAAGAATAATAGTAAGATTTAAAATCCAATAAATCTAGTATAGAGTTAGGCTACAGTTCATTAACTTATTGGCAGCCATTAAGGCAAAAACCTTTATCTAGGACAGGTTGAAAAGAAATCCATAAAAATAAAAGCCAAATATTATCACAAATATTAGGAATAGTATACCAATACAAAAAGGGCTAGATCCAGGGTTAGAGTAAGTCCCTAATTTAAGTCCCATTGATTTTTATCGGTCTGTTCTGACTAAGTCTAGATCTAGGCTATGCTCTTTAAGTATTATCAAAATAAAGAAGAAACATAGATCTCTTATTTAAATCATTATTTTAACAAAATAGTAGGCATTTCCACTGTCATGCAGTTGTGTTTCTGACCTGTAAGGTGCAGTCCTTTCAACAGGTATATATTAATTTTGCATATTTATGCTAAAAGACTTTAAAACTCTGGAAAGAAAACAGCACTGATATCCTAAAGCCATTTATTCTAGAGTGCCTCCACTAACTTCCATGCCGGTACTCCAGAAGAGGTTCCTTGCAGGCACAGACCATGCTTTTGCAGAGTAGAATAATGAAAGAGGAAATAAAAAGCCATGACAAACTACCCATATCAGGGAATGGAAAGGCTGATGTGTAAGGCCCTCAAAATGATTTAGCACTCTGGATTGTTTCCCTCCAATGTAGATCTTGCATCTGGCATTTGGTTGCTCGCAATAAAAACTATCTTTAGATCAAAAGCAGACAAGTTATATCACATTCAGTGGTGGACAAAATGACTTAGTCATAGTTAACAAAGGAACAATCTAGGCTGCTAGGAAAGATCCGGGAATTCAGTGGAATAGGAAAGTGGGTGAGAGGTGTAAGAATGCCGTGACAAACTGAAATCCAGAGGAATCCAAGTGGATAGCTCAAGAGGAAAGGACATCCTTCAGGGAGAAAAAGACAGGAAAGGTGCCTCTCCCAGAAGTGGTCCCCCTGCAATTCAGGATGCTGCTCTACTTGGCCACCTAAAGCTCAGGAACGTTGCTGAAGAAGATCGTGTGCTCTCGGCCCAGACTGGCAATGGTCCTAGGTTGTTTTGGAGCCTGCCTTGTAGGCCAATAACTTCCCGGTCCTGGTACCTTCTGTGCAGGAAAAGAAAGAAATGGGATGACTATCAAAAGAATGGAGGTATTGCTGGGATATGCTGCTCAAATCCCATTAAGGACCTCTTTAATGTATTTGTTAATTCTCTAGCTGCTCTGGTTGGTGGCATTTTCTCTGTAGCCCAACTTCCCAATCCCTTTTTAATGTCTCTGCACCCACAGTATCCTCTTTCGAGGTTATGGAAACCGCCACATGCTGGCTGGGAGTTGCAGCCCAATGGGTTTTGAAAGGCTGCTCTAATGCTCCTTTGGTGCTTGGTCAGTGCTTGGAGATGGCTTCATACTCAATGGGCAGAACATCAGAAGGCCTAAGGAGGTTTTCTCCTAAGTGAACAATTGTGAACAATGCGGACCCTATCTGGGAAACTGACATGGTACCTCTTAGCCCTGCCCAGTGCAAGCTACAGGTTTGGGGGCCCTTGAGCAAGACACCCTCCATGGGCCCCCTTCCTTAGTGAGCACTTCTTGTTGCCACTGTCACCAGCTGCGCCACTGAGCAAGCATGGCTTCACAGGTGCACCTGCTGCTCTTCCTTCTCACCACCACAGTTGCCTGGGCCAGAGCAAAGTGCAGGTGAACAAGAGGATGGCCATGGTGAAGAGCAGCAGCAACTCCAGGGAGCAACTGGCAGGGAGCTCATTGAGGAATGGGTCCTTGGCAACCCCCAACTTGCCTTCCCTGGATCCAGCCCCAGCTCCACTTTTAGCCTTTCCCCAGGCAGCAGGGAAGAGAAAGCCTTCTCCGCTAGGAAAAGCTAAGCCTTTTCTTCCCCTGCCCAGCCTCGTCCTGCTCCGGACTGTGAACTGAATGCACAAGGAATCCTCTTGCTAGGTCAAGGCTTGAGGAATTCTATATGTGCATTTCGCACATGCATACAATTCCCCCAGAATGCATTTGCAGGACTCGTACCAGATCTATGGGTACAATTTAATCCCTCTGAATGGCTCTGACTCTCTCCATGGTTTCTCTTCTATCTCCAAGAGCTACAGATTTCCTTTCCTTTTTATGGAGGCCGAAACACCCTAAGAACTAGGCCCAGAACTAGGTCCTGCAGGGGAACAGGGGCTTCACGGATCCTCTGTAGCAAAGAGGCTGTGCAACAACCGCAAGCATTTGAAACATTTTTGGATCACAGAACTCACCGTGTGGGCAGACAACAGCCGTGGCACTTGGGACACGAAGCTTGATCGTATTGGTACAGGTGGCTTCTCTTTTATTTCATATTCACCTGGTCCTGGGCCTTCTTTCTACAACATAATAAAAGTTTATGTTCCCCGGAACTGCTCACATACACAAACTTTTTTTTCAATTTTATTTCCTTTCACTGTACCCCTTGTAGTTAAAGCCATGCACTCAGACATGCTCATCATGTGCGGAACCTTTCGGAGCTCTCCAGTGCGATGGAGCCAACATTAAAAAACTAGCATATTTTAGCAGCAAGCTAGGCCTCATTGCTTTTCTCTTTTCGTTGCCAGCCGAAAACCTTTTTGTTCCACAGCTGTTTTGGTGAATAATTTGGTTTTAATATGGTTCATTGGCCTTGCTGCTCCTTTTCTAAGAGTTTTAACTGTCAGACTGTATTCAAAAAAATCTTCTTTTCACATTGTTTCTATTATTTATTTAAATCTTGATGGTGTATAAGTTTATCTGATAGTTTTTACTTCTGCTGTTTATTATTTTATCATTTTAACTGAACTGTATCCCTTCACTGGTATTTTATTGTGGTTTTACCTATTGTAAGCCAACCAGAGAGACTTTTGGTTAGGGCTGTGGCATATAAATGTAATAATAAATACACAAAGAAAGAAAGCACTTACGGACAATAACTAAGCCTTAGGAGACACAGTTTAGAATTCTGAAATGAGTGAGAAAACTGAACTGTGCAAAAGTCAGGAAACCACAACTGGAGGTTGGAGGAAAGGGGTGGAGACAAAGGAAGGGGGTGTGGCCTTCTGGGAAACACCAGGGAGCTATTTCTTAAACTATGGTACCCAGAATAGGTCACAGTACTCAAGATGAGGCCTTACTAGTGCCGAGTAGAGGGCATCTAGGAGTTTGCATGATTTGCAAGTGATATTTCTGTTAATGCAGCTCAAACTAGCATTTGTCTTTTTTGCAGCCATATTCAACTTGTCTTCAACAACAATTCTAAGATCCTTTGTCCTTGTGCTATTGTTGAGCCAAGTATAACTCATCTTGTATCTATATATTGGGTTTCTTTTTTTTAGCTGCAGAAATAACAAGCCTGCAGTGTAGGGGGCAGATGGAAAGAGTTGCTTCTTTTGCCCAAACTGATCTTTCCCCTTTCCTCTCAGCCGCTCCCCTTGCTAATTCTCTCCACTCAGCCACTTCCCCTGCACTTTTCCTCCCATCCCTGGCCTTGCCCTGGCTCTCCCGCTTACCCCTTCATTGTGCTGCTTCTCTCTCGTTCCAGCCTCAAGCCTCATTATCCCCTCGCTCTACTTCTTTACCTCCCAGCATCTCCTTCTGCAGTCTCTCCTCTCCCTCTTTTTCTCCCCTCTCCCACTTTGCCATGTTTTTGCTTTCCTGCCCACTCAACAGCTGATCAATGGCAGGTTCAAAAAGGAATCTGGTGCATTATCGGTTTTCAGGTTCTTATTTATAAGGGTTTTTTTAAGAGGTAGGAAGTGAAAAGCTGTGCAGATGCCATTGGAGGTGCTTCACTGGGGATGCCTGCACTAAGACATCGGCATCATTTACACTGAGTGGGCTTTCCAGGACCATGTTGGGGCTGGCTAAGACCTCACCACTCTGGGGCAGGTCCGTTAGGGAAACCAGCGGTTTGGAAACATGTTCAGGGAACACTTTCGGCTGGAGTGTGACACAGGAGCCCCTGCCTCCTGCAGTGTGGCTCCCGCTGCCTCCCAGCTGAATATCTGTGGCTGTGGCCTAAACACTGGTGCATCACCACTGAGCTTGGGCCACAAACTGCTACAGAGGAGAAAAAGGTCAAATTTCATTTGAAAACAAGCCACATCTTTACTGTTCCAGAGAGGCTTGCCACCAAAGTTCAACAGCAGAACACGATGTCCTCACCTGCAGCCAACAAATGCTTCAATGAGGCAACAGCAGGTATGCTGCCTGGCAAGGATGGATTTGGGATGGGTGAAAGCAGCTCTTGGCCTCCGAGCAAAAGAGGATTCTAGGACATGTTCCAAGGTGCCCTTTCAATTCAAGCAGGGTGACAGTTGGGCCTCTTAGTCCTGATGCAAAGAACCAAGTGAGTGATAAACATATGTTCTACCTGGTCATCTGGTCTGTCTGTCCCAGTCCTGCACATTCGGATTGCAAGCTTCATGCTGTCACATGTTGCCTGAATCGTTCCTTAACTGGAGATGCTAAGGGACCTAGGACCTCTTGCCACCGAGCTACAGCCCTCCCCCCCACACACACACACAACTTGCTGTTGTTGTCCCCTGTAGAGGAAGACAGAATGGTGGAGCAGTTGTCCTTTCAAGGTTCTCTCTGGCAAACAGAAGGAAATCTTCACCCTATCTCACCCTATTGGAAACCCATGTGGTCATACCATGAAGACGGATGGAAGATTCAGGAGAGACGGAATTCCCTTCCAAGAGATACAGTGGTGGCCACTCATTTGGATGGCTTTAAAGGGGGACTGGACCAAGTCATGGGGCATAAGCCTATCAGTGGATATTCCTGATGGAGTATCAGAAACAGCATGCCAATATTGGGGCACACGGCGGGGGGGGGGGGGGCTGTTGCACCTGTGTCCCACTGGAGGGCTTCCCACAGGCAGTTGGTTGGTCACCGTCTGAGCCAAATGCTGGATTGGATAGACCTTGTCTGTTCCAGTACGTCTCTTCCTATGTTCATATTGCCACCCTTTCTGTTGCATCTGCCAATCTCCCGGCTCCAACAGGGTCCTGAACTGCACAGGAAGGCCGCCCACAGACAGCAAGTTCCCCACTGCAAAGCGTCCCAACCAATGGACAAAGGAGGGAGAACAGCCAGTGAGCACAGCCCCTCCCCACTTTGATTCCAGCTGCAGGCTGTCGCCTTATGCTGCTGGAATCAAGCAGGGGGATTCCTGTGCTCCAGAAAAGCTTGCACAGTATTTCTTTTTTGCCACAGAAGATCAGAGTAACACTGATAGGTTCTGACAGGCTTGCATGCCCCTTAAAGTAATTACAGGATATCAGCTTTATCTTGCAAAGAGAAACAAGCAAACCTTTTAATATATGAACAACTGACACAGATCTTGTGCTGTCTCATTGCTTTGTAACAATATCATTTACACCAGTCCATCTTCTTTCAATCATTTGCAGACACTAGTGGCACCAACATGTCAAGCCACAGTTTTATGTTGTTGTTATAAAGCCAAGAAAAATAAAACTATTTATCTCCAGTAGATAGGGTAAGATAATTTTTTCTCTTGTGTTCATGTGTTAGCATCTGTCAAGTTCCCTCAAGCAGAAAACTGATGCTTTTTAACACATTTCAGGTTTTGACATCTTGTGTGTGAGCATGTGTGCATTTTCCTCACCCTGTGGTAATTCAGTTTTGTTTTGCCTGCAGGAGGGAGAGCTTTAGGATGTTGGGACAGTGTACAGATCTTAGAAAATTTCACCTGGACACAACAGAGGGAAATTTTGTACAAGGCAACTAATAAAATGCAAAATGGTTGTTAAGATGCTTAAATTTATTTTATTTATTTATTTAAAAATTTCTATGCCGCCCCATTCGCCAAAGCCTCGGGACGGCTTACAAAACAACAATTAAAATATAAAACACTAACAAAATAAAACACATAAACATTATAAAATAAGTCGCCCTGGCCGAGTTTGGCTTGGTACTTTGCACGGAGCACGGACTTGGACCTGACGGCCTTCTGGCCCCTTCCAACTCTGCTATTCTAGGATCTGTTGATTTTTTAGCCTAATCCCAGTAATTCTTATTTGTGTGTGTTTTTCAGGGATGCATCCCCCTTCACTCGTGCTCCTCTTTCTTGCTGGTTTGGATTTGTTCCTCCCAGCAAACAATTTGAAAATGTTTCAGACCACCTACTTATCTTCCGGGCTTGGCTATTGATTTTTAGTGCAGTTACTACAAGGGCTTGTAGTCAGTAGAAACAGTAACAGAATAAGGCAGTGATCATGAGTCGATGAAAAAGAAAGTGAAGTAGATGCAGGATCAGTGAGGTGGGTATTCAGGAAAGCTGGAAATACAAAGCACAGATGATACAGAGAAGTGGATCAAGAACAGGAGAGTCCAAAAGAATTTGCAGGAGAACAGAACGTTGATAACAAAGAACTCTTTGATAGGAAAAGATTCTTCATGGATAGGCATCTTGCCACATGGCTATAAGGAACGCAGCTGAGTCCTGGGTTGGCCTTGCATTGTAAGTCTTCAGTTCTAACCTAGCCAGTGATGGAAGCAATGCCATTCTTTCAGCTCCGGTTCCTTGTGTCTGGACCTTGCCTTATGATCGATCCTCTGTCTCCTGACTCTTCTGCTTTGCTTCTGAACTGTGTGATGTATCTGACTACTGAAAGGTACACTTTCACCTTTGCCTCTACCTTGACCACTGCTGTCTTAGCCTGATGCCCTGCTGGACTGAAAACTTGGTGCTTGTTGAATTGTCTGTCTGTCTGCTGCCTTGCCTTTCGGGTTGCCCCGTAGCTTGCTGTAATGCTGGGTTTGATTCAGTCAAAGCGGGACACTGTGCCTTTACATGATTGGGGGTCTGTTGATGAAATGCATAAGACGTACTTTAGCTAAAATGTCACAAGAAATACAGAGAAGAAAACAAAACCAGAATGTGGTTTTTCAGGCCTATTGAAAATGTAGAATAGCAGCATACAGGGCAAATGTCTAATTACCACCCTATTTACCTGAGAGACCTATAAAGCAGGGGTGGTCAAATTGTGGCCCACTGGATGTTTTCACCTACAGCTCTTCTCAGCCCTAGCCAGTGTAGCCAACCAGGAGGGCTGATGGGAATTTCAGTCCATCAACAACTGGAGGACCACAAATGGCCTACCTTTAATATACAATAAATGCTGAGCTGCACTTTTAGGGCTGCAATCCTGTAACCTCTGACAGTAACTTCCTTTCAGTCAATGGGGCTTATTTTTGTGTAGACATGTAGAATTGAGCTTTCAATTTTTCAACGTTTAAACCAAATATGGGCAGTTGAGGGGTGAAATGGAGGATGGTTTTCCTAATTTTTCCAGACGGGGCAACAGTGAATTGCTGCAAAAGATGT